CCTTCCCGTGGTCGGGCGCTACACGTGGAGAGCTAAGCCGTGCCATGGGCACGCTGCTGGAGGCTCTGCGGGTCGGCTGCCGGGCCGAGATCAGCGCTGCTCCTTGCGCTCGGGAAGCAGGGAGGCTTTTCCAATGGTTCCGTGGTCTGTTCACCACCAAATAACCAAGAAAACTACCTTTGCTGGCTTGAAAATCGGTCCCTGGTGCTGGTTGAACCGTGGATGCGAGGAAGCTGCTGGGCGCTGCCGGTGGTCCGAGCTCTGGCAGCCGCAGGTGCGGGGGGTCGTTCGTGGAGCGAGGTCTTGGCTGAATCAGGCTGGCGTGAAGTCTCTGATGTGCCGTGAGGCTGCCGTTTCCCCTCCCTCCCTGTGGTGCCACCTTCATGACTTGATTCTCGTTTCCTTTGTAGCCTCCTCTGGTCCAAGCCATCTTCAACCGCGATGTAGAGGAGGTGCGGTCATTGCTGAATCAGAAGGAGAACATTAATGTATTGGTGAGTGCTGCCTGGCCATGCTCGCTCCCTTTCCTCCCCCCAGCTCTCCTGGTTTTCTTCCCCACAGTGCAGTTCTCGAGCAGAGGCTCAGCGGGTCAGATGTGGGTGCCATCAAGATGGGGGGGGCGGCTCTTTTGGGCAAGGATGGTCAGAGCTGGGGTTTTGAAACAGATTTCTGGATTCTGCTCCCAGCTCGGCTGCCATTTGCCATCCAGCTTTGTCCCGTTGCCTCGCTCTTGCCATCTGTAGAATGGGTGCATGGAAGACCAGGACTCCTGCCCCTCCTAAAGCTCTCGGCCGCGCAGAGCATCGCTGAGAGGCGGCGGGAGGGCTTTTCACGGGGGCTCGGCTTCGCTGCCTTGCCAGTTTACCTTTTGCTCCTTTGGGATGGTGACCCAAAATAGTTTGGTGTGAACGCGGCAGGCCTGCCTCGTGATAAGGTTGTTCCCCAAAGGGAAAGGAGGATTTGAGCCGCTCAGCAAAGCCGAGCTCACCGCACAAGTGTTAGGAGGGGTTTCCACTGCCCTCGTCTCAAGCCTGACGGCAGATGGTTTTGGCACTCGTTCCAGGGAGGCCAGGAGAGGTGGCCGCTGTTCGGACAACTCCCTTGGGGTCCCCGAGCGGCCAAGGAGGGGCCGCGGGGGCGACGTTTTTTTGGTGATGAGCGAGGTCTGTCCTAGTGTGGGGCCCAGGCAAACCCTGCCTGTGTGCGTTCCCGTCTGACTTGTCTGCGTGCATTCCCTCGGTCTGCTTTACGAGCTTCCCGCTACCGAATCGGTGGCAGATGCACAGATAGGAAACGCAGGTTGGCGGGTTGGCCGGCTCGGAACGCACCGGCCCAGGTCCGTCTGACATGGTGGCACAGTCGGACTGGTGCCGGGTCAGCAGTTCCTGCGCTCTCAGCCCGAAAGCTGGGCTAAGTTGTGAGCTCTGGGCGAGAGCAGCCTGTTCTGGTTCACCGTCTCCTCTGTGCTGTGGCATTAACCGGGGCTCTGATCCATGCTGCTCCCAGCTGTGCTGCAGGCAGCTGCCAGCGTTCTGCCTCGCTCCTGCTTGTTTCGCCGCGCGCTCCATCAGGGCATTCGCACGACCCAGCCTGCGGAGCCGGGACACGCCCACACCCCCCTCCTTGTGGTGTTAAACCCTGAGGTCAAGGGCGGGCGCGGCGGACGCTGGCCGGCGTCCCGGGAAGGTGAGGGCAGCCCCGCGCTGGTGCCCGTGTGCCAGCAGGATGAACAATTCGATTGTATCGGAGCTTGTTACACAGGGATAGTGCGGGCATTTTTTTCCATGACTGGTTCGGTTGGGGACCCGACAGCTCTGCGTCCTCTCTTGTCGGGAGAGAGGGTTGGGATTGTTTTGCTGAGCTCTTGCGCAGCTGCTGAAGGAATAAAACCACGATTGTTAACACTTAATTTCGGTTTTGTGTGCAGGTTTAGAAATGTTGTTGCTTGTGCAGTGACCTGCCAGCTGGGTTTCACTTTCACATCCTCCTGCCTGGTTGTGCCAGCACAAGTTGTTACCAAAAAAACAAAAACGAAACCGACACCATTTTCCAAACAGTTTTTATCCTAATGAAAAGCAATTTTTTTTTTTTTTCCCCCTCAAACACAAAATCTGGGGCTTGAAAGGAGTGGTGCTCGTCTGGCTTTCTACTTGTTTGCTTCATGCCTTTAATACATGGCATGTTCCCCGAGGAAACCCTGAACCAAATGCCTGAGGCAGAGGTTACCCAGGGCCCGGCCCTGAGTAAACAGAAGTGAAAGGTATTTTTTTCTTCGGCTAATCCAATCTAAGATCAGAGAGGGGCTTCTGCACCTTCCTGGCCTTCAGCAGCCGGCAGCTCTGAGCCTGGTTTTGGAGCTGTCTATAATTCTGAGTGGTTTTTATTATTGGCTGAGAGAATAAAAGCGTGCAGAATGGGACAGCCTGTGCACCGTCAGAGCGCGGCCAGGCTTTCATCTCGGATCGCCGAGTGCTTTGCAGACATTCATTAAGTCCCGCAGCACCGGAGCCAGGTTGAGTCGGTCTCCAGGGAGTCAGCGGGGGGGGTGTGAAATGAGTGGCCGGAGCTCTCGCAGCCTCCCCATCTCGTGCTGGGGTTCTGGCCCAGGTACCCTCTGCTCTGCTGCCAGCTGCACCCCAGCACCCACGGAGCTCTCACAGGGCCACGCACCCGCAGCACCGCGGGAGCGTGCTGGGTTTAAGCAGTTTTCTCCCTGTCCCACGTCCCACGATGCTGCACCGTGCTTACGGGCTGTGTTGGGGCAGAGTGGAGTGGCAGAGGAACTGTGCTGTGAGAGATCTCCCTGCCCTCAAAGCTCACAGACAGTTCTTGTTTCTTACATCCCTGCTCAGGACCAAGAAAGACGAACGCCGCTGCATGCTGCTGCCTACATAGGAGATGTTGCAATCCTGGAGCTCCTAATACTGTCAGGTAAGGGCTGAGGCTCAGGGCGCTCGGCTCGTGTGCTGGCGCTGCCTTTAAGGCATCGTTCCCATCTCCTCTGGCCTGAGGGGTGCAGAGGAATAGTTTTTGGTCACCCTCCAAGCAACCGTGTGCTCATGCTTAAGCCAGTGGGGTTGCAGCCAGGGGAAGATTAGGAAATGTTGCCATAATCCTAAGAGGTTTGTTCAGACAGAAAAGCGTCTTGAAACTGAAATAGCAGAGGTGGAAACCAAGCCAGGAGGCGGATGTGTGCAAGGTGTTAGAGGAAGTTCTGGAGGAGGGCGCGGTGGGGGTGCACACCTCGGAGACACCTTGAACAGCAGGATGCTCAGGGGAGCAGAGTTTCACTTCCTCATAGAGAGGGGTCAGCTAAAACCCATGGGATTTTCCTCAGTTTTGGCTTGTGTTACTTGGCGTAAAGCTGCCCTTCGCTTCCCTCCAGAGACGCTCAGCCCTGAGCTCGGGTCCTGTGCCCGTGCGGTGTCTCCTTGTCTGCTGTTCATCAGCGCAGCGTCCCAGGGCGCCCTGGGCTTGGCAGCTGCTTGCAGCTGGTGTGGGGGAAACCCCGAGGCTGGCATGGTCCGACCTGACCCTGACAAGGAGAGAAATCCTTTGCTGAGGGCTTGTTGAACAGGACTGGGGATGCTCTGCTCCATCTGCGGAGCATGGGATGCCCTCACGTGTCCTGTGTTGATTTTTTCATGCCTGCGTGTTGAATACTCAACAGCAAAGAAAGGCAGGGGCTTCAGGGGTCGTGGGACCAAAGTGCCTGGCACAAATCTGGAGCCGGGATGGCAGTAATCTGTCATCTTTCCTTTCTAATACGGAGATGCAGCCCACAGCGACCACAGCTCCCAACGTGAAATGCTCTGCTTTTTTGTCTCAAGTGGCCTTGTTTTAAAGTAAGGAGCAGAACTGCTTGCTGGGTCTCTGCTGTGTTTTTCTGGCTCGGTGGGGAAACTGGTGCTCCGGGAGATGTAGCCTCTCCAGTCTGCGCCTTGCCGCATCCTTCGCAGCACAGCATAGTCCCCCAGGGAACGTACCTTGTTCCTCTCGCAGTTCACAGGGCCTGTCTCACCTGAAGCTCAGTGCAAGGTCCCCTCTTGCAGCAGAACTCGCCCTCTTGCCTCAGAGGTGGTCACAGACCTACCTGGGGACTCTGGAGCGGGGCAGCCGGTCACCTCTTTGTCCCCTTGACCCCTCCTTCTGTTCTTCCTCAGGTGCTAACGTTAACGCGAAGGACACTGTTTGGCTCACCCCGTTACACCGCGCTGCAGCTTCTCGTAACGAGGTAGGTTCCCTTTGGCTCTGTCTGCTCCTTGCGTGGGGGTGGTGGATGCCGATGGGAGGAGGGGACCGTGCTTCTCCTCCTCTTTTCCATCTTGCCTGGTTTTGGCTGAGATGAGTGGTCTCATTAGAGCGGAGAGGGGACAAACGCATAATTCAGAGGCTGAAAATGAGAGCTGGAAAAAAAATCCCCTTAGTTCCCTTCCCTCTGTCCTTCAGGAGTTAGCACACGGGTTTTCCCCACAACATCTTCCTCCCGCCTTTCCCCCTTCCACGGGGCTTTGTCTAATCCAGCTTTACATTTCTTTGAGGGATGATGGGGCTCTCACCCTTTCTCTAGGAAGCTGATTCCAACAGATCTTGTCAAAAAGATTTCCCGACGTTTAACTTTTGTGGGCTTAACTTCATCCCACTTAACTTGGTCCTGTTTTGAGTTGCTGGAGAGTGAGAAACTCTGTGGTCGTGTCGGTTGGAGCCAGGGGATCCGAAGCCCTGACTCCGACGTGCAGGACAAGTTACCACACATCGACTGGTTGCGTGAATTCTCTTAATCGACAGCAGACACGGGATGAAACACATTAGCGTAAACCTCTAGTGAAGGCGTTTGCTATGAACATGTGTGGACAGTTACTGTGGGTCGCTAAAATACGAGAGCTCGGCAAGCCGAGGCTGTTTTGCTGCTTGTCTGTGAATTTGAGCGCGCTCATTTGCTTCTCTGCCTTGGCTCAGATGTGCTGGAGAGTCACCTCCCTCGTTCTGTTCTTCCCCGGGATGCTTGGCACAGGGCTCTGACAGTGCCCTGCGTGCCCAGCTCCTGAGAGGAGCCTTCCCGAAATGCCTGGGTGCTTCATGGCTCTTCCTGCCTGGAGCCCGCTCTCTAGGGTCGCTGGGTTTATTTACTGCCCGGACGATTCTTGTGCTTCTGGGAGAAAAGAGCAGAGCCGTGAGCTGTGGGGCTGGGATCGTTGGAAGTGCTGCCCCGATGCTGCGTGGAAGCAGACAGCCTGCAAACCGTAGCAAGGAAAATGTCGGGTCGCAGCAAACAGCCTCTACCAGCAAAAGGGGGAAATAATTATCAAATATAGGTCAGTGGGTCACATTTGTCATCCCCCGGGCGCTTCGCACCTCGTGAGTCATGGATGAACACTCACTCGCAGTTAAATCACGTGCCTGGGAGGTTTTTCTTTGGTGCCGGTACCCCTGGTGCAGCCGCGATTCACAGCTGCATTTGGGTGGGCTGAGCCCGGCTCATTCAGGTCCCACACACCGCACTCCAGCCTGGAAGTAGCTGGAGCAGCCCGGGTGA